TTATAAGTAATTATATGTTTGTATCTATACAGCGCTGGTACACAGCAACTCATCCACGTCCACATCTAGTAATCCATGGTCTTAATGGGAGCAAAGAAGACGTAGAAGGTAGCCTGCCGCCGACCAACGAAAATGTCGTGATCGACGAGTCTACTGATTTGTGAGCATGTGTACAAAATCATCCAAGACTGTGGCTGTAGAAAACAGAAAATAGAATAATAACATAGTACTTACATATACGAATAACAACAATATTCTTCGTTTATTTAATCAGATCGGCTGGATTTAATTGGCTGAATTGAATACCGAATTTATTGTGAATTTCAAATTCTGCTCAAATTCTTCCGGATCGCTCAATGCTCAACTTTAAATTGTTAAGGACTAATTTGTTTTTATGTATTTCGCTCATTGCCAAAATGTGCTTAGTCTGGTTTCCAAAAAGCCATCAAATGGCGCCATCGCGTTCGTATCGTCGATCTGAGATCGAGCAGCGCAATGTGACGCAGGAGAATCTAAGAAGACACGTGTGTATTTTTTGTTGTAGTCGTGGAAGTGTCTTGCCAACAATGTACTGAACAAATTAGTTATAAACATTGTGTAGACAAAGAATCACTCAGTCACATATATATTATTGGATATCTGAATTCAATTTATGTGTTATGTAAAAACATTTCACATCATAATTCAGCATTTATGATTTCAATCATCTTGGGTTGCTACCAATGTGTAAATATTATATTTTTATAGAACTTTATGAATTATCAGTTCTACCATGTCACATATGATGTATATTTTAATAATTCGATTTGAAAAATGATAAAAAAATTATTGGAAGAAAAGTATCAAAAGATTTTTTTATTTAAGTAAATTGTGAGTATTATTACAATGTCTAATGTGATTTTGACAATGTGGATGTGACATCTATTCGAAAGAAAACGCCCTCTAATATTCGAGGATGTTTTATATAGATCTCTTGTTTTTATCAACTGAGCAGTTATAATAATGAGCCATGGCATACACAATATATAAACTTTCTTAGGGTTAATTTATATTTTTTAAATATCTGATAAAGTTGATTATATGAGTTTAAGGATACACTCGATAGACTGTTGTTGAATGTTGACGAAATGTTTATTAGCGTTTATGAGCTCCTGTTAGATCTCGTTATTCCGACGTGACGTGGGAAGACGCACCGATATTTAAAGCGGGAGGGTCGTCACCTGCGCACGCGCGAAAATTGAGTCCTCAGCGACGATTACAACACCCCATAAAAACGCAAAGACTCATGGGTAGACGCTTGTTTGTAAACAATGAAACGCTATGGCCATCTGACGCATGCGCAGGTGACGACTCCTTCGATTTAACTATCCTGTGGGACGGGCGTAATGAATTGTTTCATGTCCCGTCTATAAATTTAATCGGTTGAAATATGTTTGTTTTTTTATTTTGACGGAAAAATATAATTTGAAAATAAATATACTTTACTTTATTTCAAAATAAGTATGCAGTGACTGTGTATTGGAAGATATAAACTTTACTGTCACGGTGGTCACGTGAGTTAATCTAACATTTGACAGTGTTTACTACTCTCATATATATATATATATATCATGTGATGTATAATGTAACTAAGGTGTTTTCAAATACATTATTATTTTCATTTCGAGCTCAATTAATTAAAATATAAAGATAAATACATCTCCGCTAGCCAAGGTCTAAGTTTATTCGGCCAAGCCTCCAAACAGACTTTGGCAGAACAACCATCGCCCAATCAGATCTCACTGCTTAAGATACGCAATTTAGCCTGTGACCCCGCACGGTATCGTGTAGAGGCCTATAGGTCGAAGACACGAAACCGTGCGAGTCGGACGATAAGATAAATATAAATTAGGATTTTCGTGTCGACCGAATTACTTATAAATATATCCACATATATAGAAACACGGTGAGAGATAGTCAATGCCCCAATGTATTGTTATTGGTATATTTGTTTCGCTTACCGGTCGCTACTATGATGGCGATATAACTATATAACTGTCTCCGTCTACAGTGGATGGTTTGTATCACCCTGTCCTCGATAGACATCGATAATATTACAACACGTTATACAGGCCCGTAGTTTGGGGGGTTCGGGGGGTTCAGACGAATCCCCTAAATTTTGGAAGTGAATAAATTTATGATCGTAGATTAGAACATAATAAAACAAACCTTATTAATTAAAATAATTATCATCGTTTAAATCACTTGACTCAGTGAGGTAACTATCAGACTCGGTCGAAATAGCATAGTAATGAGCATTTTGGTGAAGTTACGCTCAACAGCAGCCAATCAAAACAGGTTGTTATAAATTAACGAGCTTTTATTCGGTGATAATGAAGATCGCGTTCAAGCAGCTGGTGTCAAATATTAAAACAACATTTAAACAATAATGTAGTGGTAGTCACTCTCTGAAGGATGTGGTGGTCCTGAATAGGGCCGTTTGTCTTGTGCAAGTGTTCGCTCAGTTAGTAAAGTGTGGGGATCGAACGGGCTTGACACGACAACACGACACTCTACTTTCCTAGTTTGGTTCATTAGTTTTGTATTCTTCAAGTTAATGATGGCATATATACTGTTTTGTTCTAAGTGTATCAGCCAAATGTAGTCAACTTATTGCATTAGTGCGTGTACCTTGTGTTATCGGACAATAGTGTACAGCTGAACAGATCATTAAAAAAATGCCGAAGATTTATCATCATGAGTTGTATAGGCCGAAGAGCTTCTTGTAGCCAACAATTTACCCCACAGTGTTTCTTCAGCATTGCACCTATGCGATGACTCATATTTTTCAAACATATTTTTTACACGTTTTTTTTGGATGTCTTAGAAAATTTACTATATTTTTAGTGGGTTCATAAAAAGAAGATGTAGTCATCGAAGTCTATTGAGACCGCTGCTAAACTGCCACTATTATATATATGCATATTATTCTACCCGCCTCTAAAAACAGATTTACAGTGAACCAAAAAATGTACATACTGTATGAAACTTGGTGGTATGCCATTGGTTAGTGCATTTAATTTGTTTGATGCAATCATTGTGCCAGCTATTTCTTATGGTAGCCATATGGGGGTACAAAAATTCGGAAATCGAGAGGGTACAGACAACATTTTGCAGATATCTACTTAGCGTTAATAGTTGTACAAACAATGTAGCGATGTTGGACGAACGTGGAAGGCTGCCATTATGCTGTGGTTATTTCAAGCGTTGTATCTCATATAAGTTAAAATTACTTGAAGTATAAAATAGCTGGAACCCCAGAACATGTTATATCATGCTAAGACGATTAGACAAGACCGGCAGCCTTACTTGGGAAATCCACATAAAAATCTCCTATTCAAATATGGTTTCGGCATTGTCTGGCTTGAAAAACAAGTTGAACATTTCTTAGAGATATTTACTCAAAGAATAAAAAATTGTTGCCAAGAATGGCACGCCTCAATTTTACAATCATTAGGTTGTGTACTTTAGGAAAAATCAAAGTAGTATAATAACCTGGGAGATTTATTGGCAAGCAATTATAGACTAAAATATATAATGACGAGTTTTCGCTGTTTTGGCCATAAACATAATGTTGAATTAGACAGATACACAAAAATACAGTTAGATCAATACATTTTTAGTTTTTGCAGTGATACGTTTGAATTTAGCATGGTAGTAAATGAAATTCACTTTGTTTTTATATGTCCATTGTCATTGATCTAAGGGCTGATCTTTTGTCAATATCTTTTAAAAGTTTTCAAGCGACGAGATGAATATGAATCCAGCTTAACTTACATAAGTACCATATGTTTACATGGATGTTTTATTGTTTTTAAAACGATCTAAAGTGTGGGTGTGTTTGTCTCTGGGTGGGGAATGGCTCAGCACCCCTTCTCTAAAATGGTAAAATAGTTCAAAGATGTTATGTGAAATAACTTACCAACGTAACACAAGTAAACCAATTGAATTTAAAACCGAGAATATAAAAGTATCTGTAACAGAGCTCAAAGACACTTTTTGAGTATTATAAAAATCACATGTTTCACGTCAAATATATTATTGTTGTTTTCGAACCCCCTATTCAATAGTGCTGGTTACGGGCCTGTTATATATATTACCCAATGATTTAACGTGTACATTTCAGTATCACGCATGTTATCCCAATGCCCCAAAACCTGAGTACTATCGCACTATCATGAATTCGACGTCAGACATTGCTTTCGGTTGTTGCTCGTGTTGTACGTCATTGTAATTTCTGAACTTTCTTTACACCTAAAATGTACATGATTTTCCGTTACCAAATTCAAGGCACAATATTCTGCAGGCGTGCAATAGTCAACCTATGGGTATCACGTGGTATGTATGACCAAACACGTCAACATTATGTTACCTCGTTCGTAGCTAGTCTAAATTCTTCATTATTGTAACGTCGCATTCTTATCGGTACCACGTGTAGCCCTGTTGTCAGAAGATAACTGGTCAGTGATTGTCCTGTTAATAATAGATAGCTCGTTGTACTTGTTACCTAATTAATTAGTCACCTATGCTCATGTGACCATATCTAGGGGTACGTGGAATTTTGGGCTGAGAACAGTATTGATAAATTGCTTGATTTATTGATACAATCAACAACGAATATTGTATGTGGAGAAGTTTAAATATTGTAAACATGAATGAATGAATCAAGTAAATTGACTGCATAGTGAATACCAAAATAACCGAGACGTTGTATTTTTTATATTTATGCCTGATTTCAACAAATTTGTTCAACAATTTTTTATTAAATATGCTATTCTATAATATAATATTATTTACCATTATCAGAGTATATCGAACACGAATGTATCACTATAAAATTGATTTAGCTCAGGAAAAGATGTCCCATCCATGGGCGTTTGCGTCTGAAAACGTGGAATCTTAGTGTTTTATTAATTTGTCTATGCCCTGGGCAACTCGCCCATAATTTCCAATTCTTCAAACTCTGGTAACTACATCGGATATGGGGTTGGTGTCTATATTGCAGCTAACTATGTCTTTGATGTTTCCGAGGTCATATGACCTTGTCTGGAAAACACTACTTCTACTAGGTCACACTGTCTACATTCACACCCGGTGGTCTCACAGCATATTTATCAACACTGCACTCGGGTTTGCTCTGGAATAATGACATTAAATACGAATTTATACATCGATATTTAAACTAAAAAATCACTAGATAAACAAAATAGATGGTGTTATTTTTTGAGTTATGTATTTACAACAAACCTTAAATTCAATGGCACTAAACCTTATTTGATATCTAATGTAATTTAACGTATGCAACAAAATATGTTAATTATCACATACGGTGTGTCAATTGCAGATGTACAGAAACACGTGCACTATTATTTAAAATATTTCCTATCTTCAAATATTCATTATTATTCCAGATGAACTGGAAATAGTTGTTTGAACTTTCCATTAAGGCCATGTTTTGACTCATTCCTTGATGTTTCACTGAGCTAAGTATAAGTCAGAGCTCGTTGAGTCGGGACTATAAATAACATATCCAGACTCGGCAGTCCTTAAGATAAAGTCATGAAGATGGCGTTTTTATTGTTTCTCATGGCTTAGTTAGCAAATAATCTATGTAATAATTTGGCCTATGTCAATATGACTGAACACATTAACAATGCACATGTAAATAGTCGACATTTTTACATCACATTTTTCAATTAAGCAGTCATCACGTCATTATTTTTTATTTATTCTCTTCTTACATGACAATTTTCTTCCACATATTCCTCCAGCCCATACTCCATTCAGGTCACGGGGCTAATTAGTTGATATGCCTTACTCATTTGAGTATATAGGTGTAGATTGTATTGGACGTCCAGTGGCCAAATTTGTCGAGTTTTGTTTTGATATACTAAGTAGCCAATTTGTAAACGATCAATGTGGTCGAGTTGCATATTTTGCATGATTTCGCGGTAATATTCTTTAAAGAAGACAATATCATTTTAATTTTCAAAGTTTTTGCTGGCGATCGGAAGCCAATCAAAACACTTGTCATGAAAAGAGTACAAGGGAAAATATAATTTATTGGATACAGACAAATCCTGTATTACGTCTAGGAAAACCTGCAGAAACCATTAGGAATCACAGCTTTTCAATATGTGGTACTACTCAATACGGAGCATATCTTAAAAGTTTTAAGAAATTATATCTTTTATTCTACTCATCCACTTATTAAATCATGGCGGAGCCTATTACTATTTAACTTTTACACCCCATAAGTCTGTTGGGAAGATCTTTTTTTGAACCATCCGGGTAACCGTGCGCGTGACGCGCGCGCGTAGTAGGTTGGGTAATCATAGCCAGACACTAGATTGCTCCGTGACTAGGCAACTTATTTGTGTGATAACTGTTTGAATCATGGCGAAACCGATTACAAATTAACCTGTTCACCCCCATAGTATATTGGGAAGATATATTTT